TCTGAGCTGTCAGCACAGAGCCTGACGCGGGGCTCGAACTCACGGACCGTGAGATCATGACCTGAGCCGAAGTCAGACGCTTAACCGACCAAGCCACCCAGGCACCCCAGACATGGATATTTTTAAAGAGAGATTTTTAAACATTCTTATTTCGTGTTGTTCTGATACTTCTTTTGTATTAAATTAAGATTATGTGTTCTCAGCCAGACAGCATAGGTGATGTTAAGGTGTTGCCTAATTTCCCCATTGTATAGTTACTGGTTTTTTTTCTCCCATGCAACTAATAAGCAATCAGTAGGGAGACACTTAAAAATGACATAAACATCCTGTTCTTCATCAAAATTTTCCCTGGATTTAATATCCAATCGGATAGTATCCAGTCTTTACCATGATGGCTGCAAAATAATGATTTCCCAAGCCCAGCACCATTCTGCATCTATCAGTTGGCCCTTGGTGTTCTCCTATAAGCCATAGGCATCCTGTTCCTCTGCTCTTTGCTACGGGAGGGTCACTGCCTCTGGCTAATGGTGTTTTATTTTTATTTATTTTTAATTTTTTATGTTTTATTTTATATTAGAGAGACAGAGAGCACGAGCAGGAGAGGGGCAGGGAAATGGAGACAGAATTCAAAGCAGGCTCCAAGCTGTCAGCACAGAGCCTGATGCGGGGCTCGAACTCATGAGCAGTGAGATCACAACCTGAGCCGAAGTTGGGACACTTAACCAACTAAGCCACCCAGGAGCCCCCCTGGCTAATGGTGTTTTTAGAGTCAGTCTCCAGAGGTAGAGGCAACTTTCAACCTTCCCCGTGGTGTGTCACCCAACCTTTCCAAAGTCACTGCTCTGCGTTTCCCTGTACTTTGTAACCAGGATATTTGTTAGCAGTGAGACTGTGCTTTCCCTTGTTGCCAAATCCTCTCCCTATTTAACTGTCATTTTAGCTTTTTGTTATGTCTTTCTCAATCTTAATTTTGTTGGCGAGGCTGCCTTTGATTAAAGGGGAGTGTGAATGTTAATCAGTGTTCTCTGTGAGTTCATGTTTCTGCTGTTGCTTTGGGTGGACACTATAATGGAGGAGTGTGTCCTTGGTCAGACACCCCAAATGCAGATTTTCCCTTCCCTCATTTCCACACTGTTACAGATGGAATGCTTGTGTTTCCTCAAATTCTTAGGTTGTAGCTTGTGCTCCCAGTGTGACAATGTTAGGAGGTAGGGCCTTTGGGGATGATTAGGTCATAAGGGTGGAGCCCAGTGAAAGGTATTAGTGATTTGTATAAGGGACCCCAGAGAACTCCCCCATCTGTTCCACCATGGGACAGGAAAAGACCACCAACTACCAACAAGGAAGCCCTCACCAGACACTATATCTGTCAGCACCTTGATCATGGACTTCTAGTCTCAGAACTATGAGAACTAAATTTCTGTTACTTATGAACCCTGTCTGTGGAAATTTGTTATAGAAGCCCGAATGGATTGAGACACACAACAACCCCTAACAGATGTCCCCACCATTGCCCATCTTAGGTGGTTCTTTATCTGCCCCCCTCCTTCCCCCACTTATATATATGCATACTCGGGCCCAGCTTGTAGTCCCAGCCAACCTGCTGGCACCATCTTCCTCTCTGGCACTTTCCAGTGCTGCTGTTGAAATCCCACCCTCCCCTTGGACCCTTCATGCTGCCATATCAGGGCAGTGGCCTTGTTGCCTTTCCTGGCTGGTGCAATAACGCCCTATAACTGTCTTTGGCACCCATAGGCACACCCAGTAAATGTGAGTCCATGTGAAAATAAACAGGCACCTGGTTCCCCAGCCCCACCAGACACCCACTGTATAGAGCTGAAGCCCATGGCTGGTGCCTAGGATGGCACATGTCACCCTCATCAGTTAGAACTGAGCACATTCCCTGCTCTGTCTTGAGAGCAAAGAAGTCTATGGCTAGCATAGCACCTAAGAGAACCTGTTTTCTGGTACTGCTGAATTTATGGGATGTGTGTATATTCTCAGAATACTCAATACAAGGTACACATGTAATTTTAAGTTTTTCTGTAGGCATACTGAAACATATAAAAAGAAATAATTTTAGTAACATTTAATCCATTATATCCACACAATTATCATTTCAACATATAATCAATATAAGCAATTTTTTAAGTTTATTTATTTTGACAGAGACAGAGCACGAGTGGGGGGAGGGGCAGAGAGAGGGGGAGAGGAGAGAATCCCAAGCAGGCTCCACAGTCTGTGCAGAGCAAGATGTGGAGCTTGAACTCATGAAACTGTGATATCATGACCTGAGCCAAAATCAAGAGTTGGACACTTAACTGACAGAGCCACCTAGGTGCCCCAATATAAGCAAATTTTTAATGAGATATTTTACATCCTGTTTTTGGAATCCAGTCTTTGAAATTCAGTGTAGATTTTAGGCTACAGCCATGTTGGTTCAGACTGACCATACCTGAGCTGCTTGGTGGCCTGTGTGGTGAGCACTGCCATCTTAGATATGCCAAAGCTAGAGCAGCAGTGATCACAGGCTGTGTCAGCAACCAGGCTGTGTACATGCTCTGCTCTGCAGACTTGCCCCAAAGCTCTAACTTGCTAGCCCTGCCCTTCTCCCCCCAGAGTTGCTCTTTCCATCGGGAAACTCTTATATTTGCCCAGGAGCTTCTGAATGAGGTACAGTGACCCTTTGTGAAGGGTCTTACAGCATCTATGCAGAGCCTGTCCCTTCTCCTGCCTAGAATTGCCAATAAGAGGATTCTTCTCCAGGGGAGATGCAGTTACAGACCAGGCGATGGCCGATAAGACCAGTTTTATTAAGATTAGGTTTATTCAGTGAGAGCTGCTTGGAGAGGAAACTCAAATAGCATTCAAAAACCAGAGAGGAACAAAACTAAAAGGCAACCAACAGAATGGGAAAAGATATTTGCAAATGACATATCGGACAAAGGGCTAGTATCCAAAATCTATAAAGAGCACACCAAACTCCGTACCCAAAAAACAAATAATCCAGTGAAGAAATGGGCAGAAAACATGAATAGACACTTCTCTAAAGAAGACATCCAGGGGCGCCTGGGTGGCGCAGTCGGTTAAGCGTCCGACTTCAGCCAGGTCACGATCTCGCGGTCCGTGGGTTCGAGCCCCGCGTCAGGCTCTGGGCT